AAACACACATTCAAACGCAAAAACCAATCGTGAGATGAGATGCCCGAGAAAAGCCGCCAACAAACCATCCGAGATGAAATACTGTCAGACAAACTATGGGAACGACACCTTGTAGTAGATTCAACGAGAAACTGCAGATCAAACGGTCTGGCCATCTCGCTAGAATGCAGGAAGATCAATACTGCTAGACTAGAACCGCTAGAAAAGAAATACTGTCCTTACAATACTAAACCGAGTCTGATGCCTAATTGTTTACAAAACTAAAGTCTTATCTCTTCTTGACAAATGTACGACTAATCTATTTGTTTCAGCTACAATCTGTAGTGTGTAGTTTTTCCCCCAAAAAGGTAAGATGTGTACAGGTCTTATTATGAGACCAAAGGTAAGTACATTTGGGTGACTGAGCTTTTCTGCTTTTTATATGTTTCAATGGCGAAATTTTTTTAATGTGTGTTTAGTTTTAATGTTTTTGAGATGTGACATTTCATAACGAAAAGAACTGTTTTGCGTCTTCGTGTCTTTGCTTTAATGTCTTATAAATGGCGTTTAAAACAATGTGAGGTAAAGTGATGCATGCATATGATATTCCATAGCAATAGCGAGTTCGACCAATAAGACCAGTTCGGGTAAAGAAAAAGTATTCTACAGAAAGTCCCTGGACTTTCAGGACTACCGGCGCCATTACGTATTGACAGGTCGCTCTGACCGTGTCTGCAATAAAGTTCTCCTTGGCAAGAAATTGATTCGTTTAATTGCCAATGTGGCTAGAAGGTCTATGTTTTCAATTCGCATTTAGGCGGGTTTATATTCCTTCGAAACTTACCTTGCTTTTCAGGTCAAACCAAACTAAAAAGGGTACCAGATAACATCCTGGGAAGTAAAAGCGACCGCCGTGATGATGACCCCATCACCCATTCTTCTTCTTCTGCCTTTCTATCCCCCAATGGAGCATAGGCCCTCAACCAACTCACGCCAAGTCGTTCTATCCTTCGCCATTGCATGGAGCTCTCCCCATGTCCTCCCCATCTTTCTAACTTCATTCTCCAGCTTTCTCCATGTGTTTTTTGGCCTTCCTTAATTCCTATACCCCGTGGGTTCCAATGCAAAGACATTCTAGTTATGCTGTTCTCTTGTTTTCTCAGTGTGTGTCCTATCCAACGCCAGCGTCTTTTCCTCACCTCTTGGTCCACTGGAGCCTGTTTAGTTATCTCCCAAAGCTCTACATTAGCTATTCTATCATACCATTTAATTCCTTCTATTCTGCGCAGGCACCAGTAAATGCATGTTTTAAGATTATTAGTAATTGTCTTACCATCGCCCACTGGTTTATATCAATCTGAGTCCAGCAATGTGTGACCGAAGCCTCACTGGCGTAACTAATATTTTTTCCCTTAAATTTATTTTTAATTGTGTCTATTGGCAGACAGAAACCTCCAGCATGAGGGCTGGACACACGGGAGTCTTTGCTATGTTCCTTGTTATCCTGGCGTCTGACGTCACAGCAAACGATTGCGTCTACGAGGTAACTCTGAAGAATATTGACTGACGATGTAGTTCCTCGGCACCATTTTGTGGTGGGGGAAGAACAGTAGCATGGAGCCAACAGTCTGCACACAAATAAGCCACATCTGTAAAACGGAAGTGCATGCAAAACTCAAATTGTGAAACAAGACCAAGGTCCAGAAGTGAACAGAATTTACAGCCGGCAAATGTTGAAAAGAAGAAGATACTAAAGATCTATTAAACACATACTCCTACTAGAGATAAATGAATCACAGACAGACAGACAGACAGACAGACAGACAGACAGACAGACAGACAGACAGACAGACAGACAGACAGACAGACAGACAGACAGACAGACAGACAGACAGACAGACAGACAGACAGACAGACAGACAGACAGACAGACAGACAGACAGACAGACAGACAGACAGACAGACAGACAGACAGACAGACAGACAGACAGACAGACAGACAGACAGACAGACAGACAGACAGACAGACAGACAGACAGACAGACAGACAGACAGACAGACAGACAGACAGACAGACAGACAGACAGACAGACAGACAGACAGACAGACAGACAGACAGACAGACAGACAGACAGACAGACAGACAGACAGACAGACAGACAGATAGATAGATAGATAGATAGATAGATAGATAGATAGATAGATAGATAGATAGATAGATAGATAGATAGATAGATAGATAGATAGATAGATAGATAGATAGATAGATAGATAGATAGATAGATAGATAGATAGATAGATAGATAGATAGATAGATAGATAGATAGATAGATAGATAGATGATAGATAGATAGATAGATAGATAGATAGATAGATAGATAGATAGATAGATAGATAGATAGATAGATAGATAGATAGATAGATAGATAGATAGATAGATAGATAGATAGATAGATAGATAGATAGATAGATAGATAGATAGATAGATAGATAGATAGATAGATAGATAGATAGATAGATAGATAGATAGATAGATAGATAGATAGATAGATAGATAGATAGATAGATAGATAGATAGATAGATAGATAGATAGATAGATAGATAGATAGATAGATAGATAGATAGATAGATAGATAGATAGATAGATAGATAGATAGATAGATAGATAGATAGATAGATAGATAGATAGATAGATAGATAGATAGATAGATAGATAGATAGATAGACTCAATGTCCGTTTTTTAATCCAACGATTACCTGTTGATTGCAGGTGTGTTCATGTGAAGTCAATTTCGTCGACTGCCTCAGACTGGGGTTGACAGCCATCCCACCATTAAGACCCCCAGGAGAAGAGCTACCAGAAGACCTCCAGTTTGATGTTAGTTGTTTATCAGATCACCATGTTTGTATGTTAGTTACATAATATATCATCGTTTTTCGATGTTATTTACACATAATATCATTGTGTTTTGATATTACTTATGTATTATGTCATCGTGTTTTGATGTAAGTTAATATCATGTCCTCGTATTTTGATGTTTGTTATATATAATGTCCTCGTTTTTTTATGTTTGTTATATATAATGTCCTCGTGATTTGATGTTAGTTACATATCACGTCCTCGTGATTTGATGTTAGTTACATATCACGTCCTCGTGATTTGATGTTAGTTACATATCATGTTCTCGTGATTAGATGTTTGTTACATATCATGTCCTCGTATTTTGATGTTAGTTACATATCATGTCCTGGTGATTTGATGTTACTTACAAATCATGTCCTCGTATTTTGATGTTTGTTACATATAATGTCCTCGTGATTTGATGTTAGTTATATATCATGTAATCTTTACAGTAATGGCAGTTTACTGATAACTTCAGAGGCATTTACAAAACTCTAACATGGGGATCATGATTTTTCTTTGACTAGGATCGAAGTCTACATATACCAAGTGAAACAGCGCCTCGTCAAATCCATGCAAGAGCTCACAATCGCTATATCAGCCATTGCACAACAACAAAGTTAAAAGTTACAATTTAAAGTCGAGAGGACTGACATCATTGCAGCTGGCTTTACCTCAAATGGCACAGTTTCGTTCCGCAGAACGGCTGCCCGCCTAAGCACGAACAACATATCTCCAGCGATAATCCTCGATGGTATCCGTAACTGTACTAGTTAACTAAACCAGGTATCCGTGAAACGAACTTAGGACCTTCAAAGCGTAAAAAGTTCTCTGCATGAACACACTAAGAAACATGCTTAGGGGAAGATCGAAGCCCTTATGAATATGCCTGATATGCAATGACGATGATCTTGAAAAGAACAATGAACATTGCGTGAAAACCACCAGGAAAGCACAAATGGAAAATTTGCGGCACTCCCCCAGAAGAGCTGGGTAGACCCTATTGTAGTCAGCAGCTACATTACCTCATTATATAAGATTGGTTAGTTGGGCTTACTGTAACTTATAGTGGTAATGTTTCGATTTCTGTGGACCTGTGTTTATCTGGGTAAAGCTTCGACATCATAGATTTAAGATTAAGCCCAAATTAATCCTCTTTTCCTCCTCAACAAAATTAAAAGTCTTCATACTTATAGCCCCCGTTGCTTGTGAGTTGACTACTTAATCTCTTTGGATGCAAACATGAACTATAAATTGAACATAACGTTCTACAGGTTTGCCAACTAATACTTACAGGTTCGAAGAGAAACCTGGCCTCAAGCGCGAAGTGTGCAGAGCAATCTTTGAGGAACCGCGAAGGATCTGCAAATGACATGCGAATTCATAGAGGCAGGCCACCTGACGATCTGACCTAAGCATATGAAACCGAATACAACAAAGAAGAAGACAGAAGGCTTTGCGATAGAAACAGTTTAATTGTGAATCGTCTCAAAAATGTTACATATGGTAGAACATTTTTGACACAAATTCTAAGGAACCGAGCAATCAAGAGTTCGCCCTAAAACAAATCAATGTAAACCGGGAATAAATAATGGTAACAGATACCTGTTGTGACCAAAATTTTATCATCTTAACTGCATTTTTCTTCTTAAGCGAGTTTGAGTTAACAACGTTTTATTATATAAGCTTTATTGACGGTTGTTTCCTATCTTTGTTTACAGGGCAACTACATTACATCAGTACCCGCAGGAAGTCTCCCAGCTGGGCTTGTACAGCTCACTTTCAACGACAACCCTATACAGACCATAGACGACGATGCCTTCATTGACTCTGCAACAACTCTACAAACTCTGGGTCTAACTTTAGTTCCACATTCAAGAATTCCCGACGCTCTGCTGAAATTAAAGAGCCTCACCTTCTTTGAACTTTATGACACTAACGTTGGAGATTGGAATGAAGAGGTGATGAAGTATCTGGCACCCAAAACTACAGTCGATATCTTTGGGCAATGTCAGTGTACGCACATGGCCTGACTGGTTTCAGTACTGCAACCAAGTGACAGAGTTGTCGCTCGATAACAGCAACATTACATCTATACCGGACAATGGACTGGATGGTATGGCCAATAGTTTAATCACCCTGTCTCTTTCTGGCAACAACTTAACTTCCGTTCCCAAAGCGATTTCCAAATTGGTCAATATCACGAATTTGTACGTAGACCATAACAAGTTAACAGACCTTACCTGGTTGCCAAAACAAGCCAGATTGGATACGCTAGCTTTAAACAATAATAAAATCTCCAATGGGACTCATTTAAGTGATGCTTTGATACCTTTCGGAGAATTTTTGAGCGACCTTGATTTGATAGACAATGAGCTGACTGCAATTCCTGATTTACATTTCCTGACTGTTCAGAGCATTGAATTGTCCTTCAATAAGATTTATGATCTGAATGCAGGATCTCTACCACCTAATCTTAACGGGTTGAGTCTAGATCACAACCTCCTGTCTTCAATTCCAAGTGTGGTTTTTAGTGTCCAGTCGCTGCGCTCGTTAATGATGCCGTCAAACTTAGTAACCCGTGTGCAAGCATCGTTAATTCCTGCGACATTGACGTATCTTGATCTCCAACAGAATCTACTCACTGAACTAACAGATACCAGTTTTCCAGAAAATTCTAGCCTACTCTATTTGTACCTGAATAATAATCCTTTAACGACAATATCCGATCACGCGTTCGCTAATCTGGGGCAACTACAGGAGCTTCACCTGAGTAGTACGAGACTAGCTCGTCTACCCCTCGGCCTGACCTCGCTCCACAGTTTATTTTCACTTGATGTCAGCGACATCACTCGCCTTGTCTGCACCTGCCTGGAGAAAGATTTAGCACCTTGGATCAAGTCCATGAGGTCATGGGAAGTCTTAGGTACCTGCGGCCTAATGAATGTGTACGACTTTTTCTCTTTATTAAGCCCAGGCTGTCCGCCTTAATATGTATTCAGTAACCTTCGTCAGACACTTCAAATTACTGACAAATTGTAACTGACAAATTCAGGATTTAAAAATTAAAAAAAGCACCACTGTTATTAAATTCTTTCAGGAGTTGGTTCTTCAGCTGCTTAAGTTCTAAAAAAGCTTCGCAGATAGCAGAAAGTGATACAGGCCGATAAAACAGGCAGATACGTTCAAGTGTGGTTTATTCTGTATTTCATTTGAAAGAATTCAATTACTTGCTTCATTTGATTAAATTCTTACTTTGTTTTGCACCCGACAAGATAGGGAGAAATATAACAAGCAATAAACCGTGCAATCTACTGGCTGCATCTTCTTTATTTAAATGTACAAAGGGGACAGATTGCTTTCATTGTTGTTACCGAATGTTTCTTATTTATTCCCATCTGATTTGTCATTCTCCGTGGCTCTGCTTCATTCAACAGCCATGTAGAAAGGAAGAGGGGGTGGGGTGTGCTCAGAAAGCCATGAAACAACTACGAGTACTCATTGAGGATTTGCACTGGTACGATGGAACAGTCAAGAGACTCACTGAGGCTGTGTAATGGCACGATGGAACAGTCAAGAATACTCACTGAGGCTGTGTAATGGCACGATGGAACAGTCAAGAATACTCACTGAGGCTGTGTAATGGCACGATGGAACAGTCAAGAATACTCACTGAGGCTGTGTAATGGCACGATGGAACAGTCAAGAATACTCACTGAGGCTGTGTAATGGCACGATACAACAGTCAAGAATACTCACTGAGGCTGTGCACTGGCACGATACAACAGTCAAGAGTACTCACTTAGGCATACATTAGCACGATACAACAGTCAAGAGTACTAATTGAGGCTTGCACTAGCACGATACAACAGTCAAGAGTACTAATTGAGGCTTGCACTAGCACGATACAACAGTCAAGAGCACTCACTGAGGCTGTGCACTAGCACGATACAACAGTCAAGAGTACTCACTTAGGCATGCACTAGCACGATACAACAGTCAAGAGTACTAATTGAGGCTTGCACTAGCACGATACAACAGTCAAAAGTACTAATTGAGGCTTGCACTAGCACGATACAACAGTCAAGAGTACTAATTGAGGCTTGCACTAGCACGATACAACAGTCAAGAGTACTAATTGAGGCTTGCACTAGCACGATACAACAGTCAAGAGTACTAATTGAGGCTTGCACTAGCACGATACAACAGTCAAGAGTACTAATTGAGGCTTGCACTAGCACGATACAACAGTCAAGAGTACTAATTGAGGCTTGCACTTGTATGACGGAAAGAAACTGACTCACGAAGAGAACTAATTGCCCACATCAGAAAGAGACAATCTACATTCTTTGGTCATGTGATGAGAAGACGAAAACTGGAGTACATCGTGACAGTAGAAAAGCTGGAAGGGAGGAGAGGCAGAGGGAGACCGAGAAAACAGATGCTGGATGGTTTGACATCATGGCATGGAAGATCATCTGTGTCAGAGTTGACTGAAAGCACACGAGACAGAAGGGTGTGGGTAGACATGACTGCCAACGCCACACGGCATGGACTTTAGGAAGAGGTACACATAAAAATGTAACTGCACACTTTGAGTTTATTAATATACGAATGGGCTTCAGATTAAACCTTTCAAGTGTGATATAAATTAGAATAACCAAGCTATTGTCAGGTAACCAGTCAATTTTGTAGTTAAGGGTGTCGAGTGTGTTAACACTGACATCAGGCCTGACATCACGGTGCAGATGAACACAGTGACATCATAGTGACAGTGTGAGGCCCCCCCCCCCCCCCCGCACACTTTTGACATGCGCTTTCCATCACACTTTTGAGATTTTCATTTGAAGCTCCTTTGTTGTTTGTAAAAAATTGTTATGGACTTTTCTGCATGTTTTTGATACAAACTGCAGTAAAAATGTTTTGGCAAAAAAAAAAAAAAAAAAGCCACCACTGCGTGAAAGAAAAACTTGTTTAAGGATTCGAACCAGCAGATCAGTAATATGGAGACTACAGTACTTTGTTCCTGGACCATTCCTGCTGGAAAATAAAATCTTTCCATAATTTGTTTATGTAAAGCGAAACGACCTTGAACAAAAGCTCTTCGCCTGATTGCTTAAAAAATATAAAAAAATAAAAATAAAAACTCTTATCTTTTGACAAGTATCCGGCTTGTGGGTCTATTTGCGCTGCCAGCTGTAGTGTGTAGAGTTTTCCCAAAAAACGTAAGAATGTCTACGTGTCTTAACTTTAACTGTCTTTTATATGCTGAGATTTGACAACGAAGGGTAAGCACTTTTAGGTGGCTTAGCTTTAATATCTCTCATATGTTGCGATCTAATAAAGAGAAATCGTAATTTCATGTGTTAATGTATTTCAAAAACTAACATTTCACGACTAGAAGTAAGAACTGTTTTGTGCCGTTGTCTTTAAAATTGTTTGATTTAATGGTAAGAATTTTGAGTGCTTTAACTTTAATGTCGCTCAGATGTTGAGCAGGGATGATATCTTTGGGAGCATTTGCTTGTCCATTATTGTGTTGAAAATGTAGAGATTTAATGACGAAGGTTAGCTATGTTTCACGTCTAAGCATTCATACCTTTTAAATGTTTAGAGTTGATGACCAATGTCAAAAGTGTGTAGGTGTCGAAAGTCCTATGTGTTGAAAATTTCCAGTACCGATGATGAAAGGTAATAAATTATGTTTCCCAGAAAAAAAAAAAAAAGATGTAACATCATTACCCTCTGAAAAAACATGATTTAAAAAAAAAAAAGGGATGCTTGTAATGTACAGCCTATCCTGAATATGAGCTCTAGTTAAGGTGGTTATCTTGATGGTTGGATTTCGTTTGGCTGTTTAAACCAGCGGTTTTTAACCTGCCGTTCGCTAACTTTTTGTGTGTGGGGGTGGAACGACCCTTTCACAGAAGTCGCCTAAGACAATCGGAGAACATATATTGATTGAAATTATTAAGGAAAATAATTGTCTGGGGGTCGCCACAACATTAGGGAACAGTATTAAAGGGACGTGGCATTAGGAAAGTTGATATCCACTGGTTTAAACAGACAACGAACGGACGTACTTTGTAAAACCAATGTTTATGTGTCATGAGACAAAATATAAGGCACACTTGAGTGCAAGAAAGAAATATAATAATTCCTCAGATAAGTAAAGTTCTCTTCCTTAGTCAGTCTTGAAAGAAAGTGAAGAGAACTGATTTCCCACAACAGAAAGAAACAATCTACATTCTTTGATCGTGCTGTTAAAACAAAAAAGAGAAAACTGGAGTATATCGTGACAATAGCATGTTGGTTTATACAAACCGTATTAATAGTATTCTGGCTTCATAAAAAAAAAAAGAAAATACCACTGCGGGAAAAACCAACACTTGTTTAAGGATTCACACCAGCAGATCAGTGATGTGGAGACTATACTATTTCGGTTCCTGGACAATTCGTGCTTAAAAAAAAATCTTTTGATAACTTCTATATGTAAAGCGAAACGCCATTGAACAAAAGCTCTTCGCCTGATTGCTTACAAAATGTAGAAAAAAAAAAAAAAAAAACTCTTATCTTGTTGACAATTTTCCGGCTTGTGGGTCTATTTCAGCTGCCAGCTGTAGTGCGTAGAGTTTTCCCAAAAAACGTAAGAATGTGTACGTGTCTTAACTTTTAATGTCTTTCATATGCTGAGATTTGACAATGAAAGGTAAGCACTTTTAGGTGGTTCAGGTGGTTTAGCTTTAATATCTCTCATATGTTGCGATCTGATAACGAGGAATTGTAATTTCATGTGGTAATGTATTTCAAATACGAACATTTTACGACGAAAAGTAAGAACTGTGTCTTTGTTTTATCGTCTTTCAATTGTTTGATTTAATGGTAAGAATTTCAAGTGCCTTAACTTTAACGTCGCTCAGATGTTGAGCAGGGATGATACCTCTGGGAGCATTTGCTCGTCCATTATTGTGTTGAAAATGTAGAGATTTAATGACGAAGGTTAGCTATGTTTCATGTCTAAGCATTTATACCTTTTAAATGTTTAGAGTCGATGACGAATGTCAAAAGTGTGTAGGTGTCTAAGTCTAATGGGTGCTTTATTAATATCCTACCCCAAACAGGGGAAATCCACAGGTCACGGAACAGTCTAATATTTTACGTGGTGGTAGATAGGCTGCTTGCAGTCCTGGGACCTAGGCTGTATGCATTCGTGTGACCTAGGCTGCACTCTCTCGTGGGATGTAGGTGGGTTGGGGTTAGGGCCAGCTCTTTATGTCTGGTATCGTTAAAAGCATCAGAAATCCGGGAAACCCAGTTTTACCACCCTCTAAAATGTTGGACTGTCCTGAATCAAGACCGAAGGGATGCGATATCTATATAGTACCGAGCCAATGGGTATACATTTCATGGTTTCAGGATACTTAAAAAAAAAAATAAAGATGGCATTACGTTTGCGTTACACACTTTCAGGCTATAACAAAAACACTACTGTGCCAGTTTGAAATGGAAAGCTTGAATGTGTCTTTTTTGAGCAAATATTAAAACAAGACACGTCCTAATTTTGGGGAAATACCGAATATGGCAGTTGTCATGTGTTGTGATTGTTATGTTGAGTGCGAACAATTGTGAACATTATATTTTGTACGTATTGTCGGCGTCTGTTGTTTAGGAGTTGCGAACGCAGTTTATAATGCCGAGATGTCGGGTTCGATCCCAGCTTATGGCTATTTATTAGCAGCCCGTCTTGTGTTGGGTTCGACAGTGGAATCTAGAGCCCACTATTTCGAGAGCAATACCAACTAAAAAAAAAAGTTAGTTTCGTATCCTTTACAGGACATTGCAGAATCAACACCAGCTTTTTTTTTTTGGCTGTTGTGATTTTTCTAGGCAAATTTTACGTTTATAGTTGCCACTGAACGGTCAGCTCTCGGTACCGCTGTTGAAACCGACGCAAGACAAATTGTCCGCAGCTGGGATCGAACCCGGCACCC